CTCCAGCCCAAGAGCCCCTCCCGGCCTGGCCTCCGGAGACGGAGCCCCAGCTGGCGCCCCAGCACCCCCATCCCAGCCCCGGCTCAGACAACACCTTCCCGGGGCCTGGCCCTCGACGGGCACCGTCACCAGACTCCAAGCGCAGGGGTGGCCACTGCGCACTCTGCTTGCTCTCAGGACTTCCATTTGTGACTGTCTCTGAAGAGTGCGCTGTCAGTCCACAACGCGGGCAGGAGGCATCTGGGCCCCGCTGGGCTGGCCTTCCCGTCTGCGAGCCCCGCCCGTGTCGCGGGTGAGGGCCCTGCCTACCTGTCCGTCCGCGGGCCGGGGCCGCTGCTGGAGGCCGTGCAGGCCCGCTGCAGGGAAGGCGCTGCGGGCGTGGGCCCCACGGGGCTCTCTGACATCCCCACAGGGTGACCGAGGACCTCAGGGCAGCCACGCAGTTCTGCAGTGAGGACACAGAGCAGAGGGACCTGGTTACAGGAGCTGGGGGCCACGGCCCGCGCCCCATTCTCTTCCGAGAGGAACGATGTCCCTCCCGAGGCCTCCTGCTGCCGAGGAGGGGCCCTGACCCCACCAAGTGCGGGTCACTACGTCCATTCCCACTCACGGCCCAGGGGGGAGCACGAGGTCACCCCGAGGGCCAGTTCACCCGCCTGACCGGCTGACATGCCCGCTGTGTTGACGACCCAGGCCGTTTCTCACTTTGGAAAGAGCAAGGCGGAGGGCGGGCTCCACGGAAGAGGCCTCTTCCCATACACGCAGCCCCCCTGCCCCCTGCCCCCCGACACTCTGGGCCGGTGCTCTGGGGCTCACCGCCCGCCTCCAGCACGGCCCACCGGCGTCCTCGTCCGCAAGGTGCCCGGCCCCCGCCACGCAGAAACGAGACGCCGCGCGTCCTGAACGCCTGCCTGCGTGACACCCAGCCCCCAGGGCCCCCAGAATCTCTGCACCTCAGACAAAACGCGCGTCTGCCGTGGCCCACATCTCCATCAGCTCTGGGCGTTTTTAAAACCTGGCCCGTTGTTTTGAGGAAGCTTCAGGAACTGGACAGATCTACCAGGACCATGAAACAATGCCGTGAGAACAGTCATTTGCTCTCCGCCTTACAGCGGCAGAGGACGGGCAGGAGACGGTGAAGTTCAGGAAGCGCCTCATCCCTCACACCACTCGTCCCAGAGGGCACAGCGGCAGCTGGGTCACTCGTCCGCACAGTTTCTCCCCAGCCACAGACCCATCGGAGAGCGCGTGGCGCAGAGGCCGCAGGTAAGCCCGTGGTCAAGGCTGCGGCGGTCCCACGGTTCTGGGAGGTGAAAGTTGGGTTCAGAGCTACCAAGGCAGCCGGGACGTGCAGGGCCCGAGTGCAGAGCACAGGGGACCGTGGGGAAGGCAGGGGACACTCGGAGCTGTCCCCGCGCCAGGCGTCCACTCCTGAGGTCAGAGGCAGAAGCAGAACGCAGCACGTGACCCGGGCGAGTGCTGAGAACCCAGAAGATAAGCAGGGGCTGGGCACGCCCGTGGGTGGGGGCAGGGGCTGAGAAACAAAGCTTGGGCTCATGGCATGTTTCTAAAAGGAGGGGTGCACGAGGGTGCTGCAAAGACCCAAGGTGTGGTCCCCAAAGACTGCAACCCGGAGTACAAGCACCAGGACAGGTCGGCCTCAGCTGGGCCTCAATAGCCTGAAACAAAATCCATTCCTTCCAGGGATACAAGGCCACAGGCCCGCCTGTGTCTGCCCGTCTATCCATCCGTCTATCCATTCCACGTCCAATTACCTGCCCATCCAACCATCCCCTAATCCATCCATCCATCCATCCACCCACCCATCCATCCATCCATCCATCCATCCACCCACCC